TCAAAAATTTGGATAGTGGTTGGTAGAGAGATATATAGGTCTGTATAAATATCTACTTCATGCATTGGGTTTGCCCGGTCTATAGGGATGACTATTTACTTGGGCTATTTCCATTGATCGGCAGGAATGTGTCCTAATCTTAGAATGGCATTGAAAATGGAAGTAATACGCATATACTTTCTTGGTAGATGGCGTAGGAATTGTTATACAAGAAATCTATCATATCCGGGAGCTTTGTCTATGTTGGTAAAATTTTGATTAATGTTTCAACTTCTGCGAGACACTTAGGGTTGATTTGGGGAGCTAGTTGCAAAACGGTGAATCTAGGAAGTTGTTAATTTCTACCTCTTCTGCTGCAGTATTTGTGAGGAAATGGTTGAAAAGACCGTAGAAAATGAGAGGCAAAAGCAATTTCCGTTTTCCTCTTCTCGATTTTGCCCATGTACGCATGTACATCAGTTTTTCTGTGAGGAATAAGAGTTTAGTATTGGATCTCATCTAAGCATTTGGTGGTTTTCCAAAGAGAGTACTCTGAATTTGAATTTGGAGTAGTCTTATAAGTATTATGCTGGTAGAAGCAGTTGTTTCGTTGTTTCTCGAGAAAGTAATCTTTTCAGGTTTTGTGAAAGCACGAATTTTATGTCTTCTTTAGTTGCTGAAGGATCTTTGTGATTTTGCCATTGTTATTTTTTAGATTTGTGTTTTAGCTTATCACCTTTCTCCCTTATTAAATTGTGGGAATATTTGTTGTTTTTATGTTGCTTAATTTCTGGTGTAGAAATTACCATGGCGCTTGAAATGAAGTTGTCTTGTTAGTATTCTATGCTTCATTTACAATCGAGAGCACTTTTCAATGGTAGATTAACAATGTGTTATTAATTAGCATTCTGAAGAAGTATTTTCCCAATCTGTTTTAATTGTTTATGAAAATTGAGCTTTGCCTTGTTGTCTTCAATAATGAATGAGCTGAGATTAGTAGAACTGGTGAATGGTCAGATGATAGATCTTGTGACGAGTAGGTGCGGACATATAACTTTGGTTTACTTCCTTTTACAATAAAGGAAATCTAAACATAGGAAATTTTTGTTTATGTAGTCGGCCAATATAAAGTGGGTTGTCCAGAAGAGTAAGTGATAATCTTTCGTTTATTATATAGATTATCATAGAGAGATTTCCTTTTGGAGATGTTAGTACTAGGAGCCCCAAAAGGATGCTTAGAATTTGTAGTCACCGCCAGAAATAAAGTCTTGGACCAAGTGTTTTGAAGAACTTGTGAATGAGAATTCTGAATTTTGTGTTTTGAGAGGAGCAGTATACAGCTGCAATTTATGTTCCGAATGCATCCCTTACTGAATGGATGTTGCCTGCAATACATGGTGCTAATATTGAGATGGTAAATGAATGTTTTAATTTTTTCGCCGAAACATTATGGCTGATCTCTCCATGTGCTGTACCAATACTGGATGGTTTGTGGTAAATATATGGTGTTCCTTGAAGCGAAAAAGCTCTTAATTCGTGAAATGAGTTTTCCTGAAATGACAATATATGTCTGTATTTTGGTTAACTGAGAAAACACTTAACTTATCCTCTGTGATTGTAACAAGCAGCATTGGCGTTCCATGCTGCTATTTTATATGATTTTGTTCATAATTTACGTTAGCAGTTTTGACACAAGACTTTAAAGTGCAATTTATCTGTTCTGATTGTCTGCTTAGTATAAGTTTCCAAACTCTTCGAAAGACTGCTGAATTATTAGAGAAATAAATTGATTAATTAAGACTCTCATATTTAGTGCATTATGTTGGTTAAGGTATTCTTCTGTTGTAGAGCTGTTCAAAGTTTTGCATAAGTACCAAAAGGCGACTGGATCGTAAATTATTGTTGAAGTAAGTCTGCAGTTGTGAGACGTTTTTCTTGTTTGTATTAACTTTAGTTTGTGAAGCAATATAGATTTGAATGTTGAAGAGTTTTTGTTGCTATGGATATTTTTTTAATATACGTATTTTTTGATAAATTTCACACTTCCTTTATAATCGCCGTATGTGGACCATACACAAAGAGGCCAATTTTGGGAGCAGTGTCTGTTTTTCTTTTTATCACAGGTTTTTGCTAATCGCGCGATTTCTCACACAAAGCATCACTACACCAAACCGATAAGGATGATTGCAGTAGTGCTTCATGTGCCCAGCCTTTGGCAGCGATGGCCTGCACAAGAGATCTCGCTTTAACTCTTGGAACGCTTCATTATTATTTTGATATTTTGAAAAGGTACTAATGCAATTTATAACGACTTGTCTATTATCTGTTTGGTTCTAGTATCAATAGAAAATAACGCGGGTAGGGGGAATTTTTTGTTACAACGGTATTTGCAGTTGTTGGAATTTCTATACAGTATGCAGTTTTTTTCTATTTCTGGTTTCAAATCATCATATTACTGTAGGGGTGGGATATTTCTTAATACTAATTAAATCCCATTTCTTTGTTTTAAGCTGATAACATGTGAAACTCAATTTCCTCTTTACTAGGTATTTTAGTAAGTGATCGATAAGCTTCTGGTGTTACCGTAGTAAATTTTAAATGTAATCTTGGCCACAAGCTTGGCAGCAATACTACTTATTTATTCACGAGAACACGAACAAGGTAAGCACTGCGGAGCAGCGGCCACGACCGTTCACCTCCGCTGCCACACGAGAACTATTTTATCAAATGAAATTCAGATGATCAACTCAAGCTGTTGGATATGTTACTGATGTAATCGAGGCTTCTTCCTTTCGTTCAAGTGAACTCGGCTAGCAAACGTTTGGTTTGGACTGGACCAAGAAATCTTAGTCTTCGGTTATCGTGAAATCCGCCGAACCAACAATGGTGCTGAAGGCGTCACAGGAATCTTAGATTACATGCAACTGCTGACAGAAAATCTAAGCGAATAAATTGAATAGGCTACACAGGAATTCTGTGATGAACATTTATTCCATCTCGTAAATATTATTTGAAGCAAGTATCATTAAAATGATATAAGAATCGATGAAATCCGCGAAAAAATGCTTTAAAAATGACAAAAAAGGTAAAGAATGACGTATTCGCCAAAAAATGTAAAAAAAAGGCATATAAATATGGGTTATGCAGCTGCAGTGATGCGAAGGAATTAGTGATGCGGCATACATAACAACACATTGATATTACTAAACATCGATGTACAGAATTAAAACATGGGTGTTAATAATATATCGACTAAAAATAATCAATGTTTTTAATTATCTATGTTTTAAAGTTACATTTATTAACATCTAATAACTTTTAGTAACCTCTAACGCTACATCAAAACTGTCGTTTTAAATTTATTCTCACAAAGATAGGTGTCTTGAATAAAAAAAGAAAAAAAAAGGAAGAAATAAATTGTTTAAAAATTTATTTTATTGTTTTTTTATTAAGGTTAAAAATACATTACAATTAAAATATTGGATGTTCTCGAAATTTTTTTAGGGGGTTTGGGGTATATGACCTCCGCGATCCTTCGCCTAAGACGTCCCCTAGCGCCCTCACAAAAATCTGAGCATCAACACCATACGATTCCAATTGAACAGCGGCGTTACAATACTTTAGCCTCTTTTCGCATTTTTTAAACAGTTATTTTGCGTAATTTGTGCTTGAAATGAATTCAATTCATAAAAACAAATTCAGAAACCTCTTCTAATTTTTCTTCAAATGTTTTCCAAGAATAGAACAAGGAACGCTTAGAAGAATGGAGCAGGTCTCAATTTCGCCTGAATGTTCTAAAAATGCAAAATTTTTGGGAAAATTGCAATTTTTAGGAAAAAATCTCTATCATTAATAAAATTGTATGAAGATGTCGAAAAAATTCGAACTTTGTGATAAGCAATTTTCGAAATGTCTGAGATTTCAAAGAACACGAGACCTTCACCAATCTCCCCATACGACGAGGACAACGCTTAATCAAACCGTTTGGTGCTATTTTTAAGAAAAGGTTGAAAATGTTTTCGCGGTTTCATGAAAAGTACCCTCAAAAATAATAATATTCATTCCAAACTCAGAGGGCCTCGAGTTTCTTTAAATCGATCTGGCAATATCAGTTTTGGAATAGATCGGCTTATTGGTTTAGGCTCTAGCGTTTTACCACAGATGGCCAAGTTTAGCCGTATACGTGAATCGAATTTTCGGCAACAAGGACCCACAAAAAACATGGATTTTGACCACACAACGTGTTAGTAGAAGAAATTTTCGACATATTGAAACAAATTTATCATCTTTATCGATATCAAGGCCTGGCAATAAGTTTTTCCTGTCGAAATTCTGCCGTTTTCCGACACACGACTACAATACTTTCTTTTCTTACGAAGAAAGGGCGAAAAAATAAAAAAAGTAAAACTGAAGACATTGTAGTGATTTTTAAGCGTAGTTGTCTGCTGAAATATTTTTTCTCTCCGAGACAGCAATGTTAGGAAACGTGTCTAGTTGTTGCACACAAGGGCTCAAGTACAGGTGGACAGCAGAAAACGAGGCCAGGCCAGGCCTGAACTGCCTTCTGCTGCTGTCCTCGCCGTGCTGGGTACCGCTTGGGAGCAGCTCTCGCTTATGACTCCTCCCCCTTCCCCAAGCGTGTCCTTCCAGCTCCTAGAAATGTTCGCCAGTGCCCTCTGGTTTAAACTGCCCAAGATATTCTTACCAACTTAAAAAAAATCATACAATAATTTTAATACGAATCAATTCATTTTTTGTAATATCTTATTTACACTTTTCAATAATTTTAATATTCTTATTTAATACACGTCATTCGATAATTTTATCCATTATGATCGACGGAAAAGAGATTTAACTCAATTTTTTAGTGTTTGAGTTCTCCTCTTGCTGATTCATTAAATTCAAAATTGGAAATGCGTGCTTTCTTTTATGTGTAAGATAATATTTAATAAAACAAAGACGATAATTAAAGAGATATTCAGAGTTAAATTTTTAGCCTTTACGGGTTGGTATGTCTGCAGGTTCGTGATTCCCCGAATTTGTCTGATGTGTACGCGATCAAACTGTATTCTCCCTCGGTTCCGCTCGATTCAGTTCGTAAGTCGCTGGTCGCTGGCGTTGTAGGTTGTCGCAGGTAAGTTGCTACACTAGTGTTTCATGAGCGATTTATTTACAAGTGAACTGTTATCCGAACAATAACAATATAGAAAGGCGTACAATGTAATTTTATTTTAAATTCTTAATGTAAAGACTACTTAGGTTTTTGTGTATTACCGAAAAACATACAGTAATGGGAGTTTCAGTGAATATAAATTGTCGCTTACGATTCAGTCAACGTTTTGTTATAATTTCTGTCGAGGGTGAACCTTTGAACAAAAAGTTCAATTAAAAGGAAAAATGTGAGACCAAAATTATATGCTGTATCCAAAAAGGGCTGGAAATATTCAAGGATTTTTCAAGAAACATGGGTCTCGAAATACATGTCGTTAACAGGAAAGTGAATAAAACTACCAAACATTACTTTTATTGCGTAATGCTTAGAGAAGAATCTTATAATAAAAAATAGTAATTCATTTTTAAGAAAATATAAACAATTTTCATGATCAGGAATATTATTCGAGCTTGAAAACGATATATATAATCTAGAAGATACATAGAAATATACATATAATTTAGCAGATCCCTTACAAGTTTCCAATTGTCCAGTGAACATAATTTTTATTCGAGTGTTGTATGATTACATTACTATTAATAGATTTTTTTATAATACTATCATTGCTATGTGTGGTCATTATGTAGGTAATTATCGTAGTCGCCTATTTTCAAAATCTTAATAGCATTTTCCAAAGTAAAAGTGTGTGTGCATACAATTTACTTTTGTACAAATAAGGTATATCTTGTTATTTGATATTTAATTTATATTCCTTTACTTGACGCATTGCGTTTCGCGTGTTAAAAAAACGCAACTCGAGTCTTGTTATTTTTAATTCAAGAGCTGTGTTTGAAGTAGTTAGCATGAAATACAAGTTAGGACATATTAAAATATCCTTGACTTACGGTATGGCGAGGTGTAGAAGGGTGTGTAGAACTTCCCTATTTTTTCACGTAATCTTAAGTAGAATACTATAATTAATATCTTTAAGATATGGCATCCAATAACGAGAGAACGGGACGAAACGAAATAGGGACACTTTCACATTCTGACAAAGTTTTGGGGGACAACTGGGAAAACGGGACGATGCTGTATTTATTACAGGACGTTTACGAACGCAACTATGAAAGTCTCGGTGGGGAGGTTGCTAATGGCAACTTGCTATCCGCTTCGAAGACGGCTGAATAATCTCTCGAAATTGGATACTGTAACATCCGATACAACTGCGATAAGCTGAACTGAGAGACCACTGACAGAAAATTCGGGGAACTAGCCTTGTGACAGGCCCACGTTTTGTCTCGCGTCTCGATATTACGCGATCGACGCCGAAAAAGTTCAACTTTGTGGACGAAAATATTTGTTCGTCAAATTCAACTGGGGCCGTGAGTGTATTCTCGGTTCCTGTGTACGATTATGTTGACACTCATTTCATTCAAACCATACGTGTGGTATGTAATAATTAGATATTATTTGCATTAATTTCAGAAACTTGGGCGTACCTGCGCTGGTGTTCCAAATATTCAGTCATTCCGCCAACCGATAATTATATGAAAATTTATTTTCGTTACTAGAATTCAAGAGTACGTTCCAAAAACATTATTTAAAGAAAGATTATTTACACGAATTATTGTTGACTAAAGATTGTTCTATTTCGGATTTAACTGCAAGTGTGTTAAAAAATTAATTGAAGAATTGAAAGCTTTTTGATATTCGATGATAGTAGGTTGACCGTTTATATTCGATTAATAGTGATTAGTGATCCAGGGCGCGGCAATTGCTAAAGTCATTACTCCCGTGAGTTTAATGCCCGTTTTTATAACGGGAGGCTGTGATCTTTCCGCCCTCTGTTGGCGACATCCGGCGCCGACCTACCCATGGGCAGCTAGCTCCCGACTGGCCTCCCGGCACGTGTGGTAGCTTAGTGCATGTAAGCGTACGTGTGTGTAAGTAATGGGTGAGTACGAGTCAAAGGAGAGGATAAAGAAAAGATCGCGGGCGGTCTGTGGCCCGTTTGCTAGGTTACTGCTCCGGCATTCGTCTTTTGTTGATCGGAGAAACCTCGGCAAACCACCGACCAGAGCAGGAGGTCGCTAGAATTGTCGCACAGATGGCGCGTGAATTCGACATAGCTGTGCAGCTAATGTCGCAAATTCTGCCACCGTCGGGCCTCGAACCGTAGGAGGTCAGAGTCACTGCAGTGAAATATATTCATAACCGGGGCCCCCTATAAGGCGTAGTTTATATATGTTTATATTCATCTATCAGAGAATTCATTTTCAAGTACTCACTTGCTTTTCGACGTGATTTGCCTGAATTTGTATAGTTTGTTTTTGTTTGTAGTACTGCTTTTAGTTGTAGTCTGGGAAGTAAATCACTGGTAAAAATTTGCTTTAACACCATAATGCACGCACAAGTGACTTATCCGAGCCAACCCGGAATCTGTTAAAACAATCGTCTGCTAACCTGAACCGAGAACACAAATACGAACAATTAATGCGGTGTGCGTCTCGGGTCAAAAGTATTTGTTTTCAGACTCGCTTTTTGGCTAAACCTCGGGCTCGCTGGTAAACAACCCTTAGAAAAGAACGAAAAAAATTATAAAAAATACTTTTCAGTCTCGATGCAAACATATTAACAATTGACAATACTCGTAAAAAATCCAATGGCGAGTAGGGGCAAAAAAGAACTCCGTCCCTGTGACATTTATGTAATGAATGAGAGGACAATTCGTATCTGGACGCAATTCGAGAGAGGTCATTCATCAAGTTTCTTCCACCGATGATTGATGATAAGCTTTCACATGACGTTTTTTCCCGATAAATACTACATGACGCTACTCTGAGGAACATGGAAGACCGCATACGTCGGACCCTACATTTTTAAGGAATTCTTTTAAATTCCTGTTCGAATTTACGACGGATGATGTTAAACAATGTAGATTGTAATTAAACAAATCCTTAAGTTGAGTGGTTACAAGCAGTGAAGGTCTTAGTTCAAGGATTATGATAACGTGTATGTGATTTTACACTTTTCGTAATTTATTGGACTATAAAGTGGCATCTGGTCTGAATGTAGAATTTCATCCAGTTGATTTATTTACATTAATGGCATCGTCAAACATTGCAGCAAGCTAAATATAAGCGGCCAATCAGCAATCAAAAAGTAAATACATCTATCTAGACGTTTGGTTGTATGGTTACTAAATTGAAATTCAGGTGCAAGTTCTTTTTTGTCTCGAGATACAGTGTTTTGCAAATGAGCAAATAATGCTTATTTAGAGTCTACAAGTCTATGGGTGAATAGAGTGCAATATAATTCAATTTCCACTTTTGTCATTTTGCTTTGAACATAAATATCAATAATTTGGAAAATTAAGCCCATCAACCTGTAAATTTACACAGGAAATGTGTTCTTTCATGATCATAGAAATAGATATGAGATATTGTTTTGCCGTATGTGTTTATTTTTCCATACATTTTCCTTATAATGATGCCAAAGTCGTAAACACCACACCATTTCCTACCATCATCATTCATAATCCTTTATTCATCCACTGCATACCAGCATATTGTTTTTTCCAAACTTGAATTACATATCGTAATATCTAGGTTTTAGCGTACTACGTGGTTGGAAACAAATCTAACTTCGTAGACAAACTTCGTAGTCTTTGTCGTCTGTTCTGACGGCGGCTTTTCGACTCTAGCTACGTAAATGGAACGGGCGAAGGCCTGGCTGATTGAGTACGGCTGAACGAGCTGCTCCGGCTGCCCATTTCTGCGGTTTCCTCGCGCTTTTTTCCTCCCCCCTCTCCTCTCCCGGCCAATCACCCTGGCGAGGCGACCATTAAATAGCGGTGTAGTTATGAGTAGTATTCACGTTAGCACTTGTGCTTGAGCGACAAAGGGGGAAAGGGACGGTAACTTTAACTTAGTGAAAATTAGAAAGTTTCTTCATGCCAACCAGATAACGGAGAATATACCTAAAAAAACGGTCAATTGTTTCTCTCACGACCCTACCGTCTCACTCCTGTCCCCATTTCTCTTTAGAACTGACGATTCGTCTAGCACCCATCTCCCATACGAGCCCCCCTCCGCCCCCATGATCTTCAAAGATCCCAACCGAACTGCGAGCGCGCGTTTGTCAGATCGAGGCTGTTCGGCAATACAAAGAAGGAAGTGAAATGTTAACACAGCCGGAAAGTAGTGTTAGCCTTATCGCGAGAACAAGGGACGAGAGCCAGTTACAGCGATATCACTCGTATGAATACATGCGTGTTATTCTTAACGCTGCTTATCGACTTCTCGTGTGTTCTACTTCGCAGGTGTGAGGACGTGCCTGCGATGCCGAGCAACGCGAAGGAAGACTTCGTGGTGGAGCACGATGGGGAGAAGTACAACATCGGCAAGTTCCTGCACTTCCACCCGGGAGGCAGGAACACGCTGGCGGCGTTCGAGGGCAGGGACATCACGCAGAAGCTGCGCCAGTACGAGCACTCCGACTCGGCGCTCTACCTCATGAAGGAGTACAAACTGCGGCGGGACGCGCGCGGCGGCGACGACCTCGAGGTGAGCCTGGCGCCAGATCGTTACTCGCTTCACACTAGACTCCCATCACCGAGCGAAGTGGCTCGGGGCGCAGCGCGCTCACGTCGCATTCGGGAGGCCGAGGTTCAATCCCCTTGCCGGCCATCCTCAGCGGGATTTTCGTGCAAATGCTGGGGTAGTTCAAATGAACGAGCGGAAATCCGGCGTCGCCTGCCGAATTCATTGATTACGTGAAGTCACAAACGTTATGCGAATTCGAGACATCAAGGTTCCTGGTTGGGTGACCGACTAGGAACCCCGGGATCTAATGGCGCCGAGGCCACTTACCGTTAACGGGTCTTTTAATCGGATTATGTATTTGTATTTAGCCATTATTACGTTTGGCGAAATGACAGCGATCAGTTGGGACGCGATTATGTGATCGGGAGCTTCGTTTTATCTTAATTTTACTTACTCGCTTAGTACGTACTTTTCTAATAAAGAGGAGGTATTGTTATCAGCAATTTTTCTACAAAAAACTGATAACAATGAAGTGAATAAATCTGATTCCTATATGTAAATTACTTCCTCGAACAGGTTGTGCAGTTGGAATCCACGTTTTGTGCGTCCTTGATACCGAAAATCGATTGGCCGCAAAACGTCTGCGCGCCCGTCTGTGGTCAACGCTGCGTCTACGCCGTTCAATTTTCTCCACAATCGATATCCTGCGATCGATTTGAACGAACTCTTAGTTCTGTAGAATTAGTTCCGCAAAGTTTAAGCAGGATATTTTAATTTTTGGAGGTACTTTCCAACACGTTTCTTTAATATTCTCAAAATTGTCTCAAAACCTTTGTCTTCGTATGACGTAAAGAACGATTAAAAGAATAACATAAGTTTTATTTACAGTAAAATCCCCATTTTTTCAAAATTGCGAAAGTTCAAAATGTTTTCGGCGTTTTCCTACAACTACAATATTGAAGATAGGCATTTTTTCCCTTAATAAAATTTTCTTAAAAATAGATTTTTGAAATCAATTTATGTACAATATTTCGAATATTTGAGTACTTTCCGCTTAATTTTACGTGAAAGTACGGGCGAGAAAGTGAGTGGTTTTAGCACCACTAGTTGTTTGATTGTGCTACTGAATGCCCCTTAGGGACACTAAAATAAAAGCCCCTTTCAGCTCTTGAATTTGAATTCTCTTTATTTTTAAATGATAAATTTAAATCATTAAAAATGCTGGAATATTATCGGGCAATAAAAGAGCGTTTATTTGTTATAACTTGGGCTGTCATTTATATTCTTTTGCATTTTTTGTTAACTAAAATATCACTTTCAACAAATTGTATACGTTTTGAGGCATTTAGAATCAATTTAAGTAATTTTTATTTCGCATATATCACCATAATTGAATATTTTTGCATATTTGAGCCGTATTTGCATATTCTCCCCTCATTCGCAAAATGAAGCCCATAAGTTACAGTTCCGTCAGCGTGTAAGCGGCTCTGTCATTTCTCTCGCCACTTGCCTAGTTACATCATATGACCTGCTATGAAGTAATGGGCTTCCGAGGATTTGTTTTCGTTGCCATAGCCACGGATCAGCGTTGCCATTCGTCTGACTTCTACGAAGTCGCTCGAGTAACACGCTAAGACCTGTCATCGGGAGTATCAGTCGAACTGAAATGAGCATCCGCCGAGCGCCTATGCGTCCCCACACACGGCGCAAACGTGGAGTGGTGTTAAGAGGGTCAGGCCCGTGAATTTGTCGTGAATTGGGAAGTCATGTTTTTTTCCAATACCTATATTTTTATTTTTTTAATGTTCATTAACTGCATCTCCCATTATTTTCCTAACAAATTAGGGTTTTTCAAAATTAAGTCCTTGACGTCTTGTTTGTCGCTTGTAACAATTTATATAGTTTCTGTATCTTTTTTTTGGTTTGAAATACGTTTTCCACATTACACTTTTTATTCATTTTTACACTTACACATTACATTACACTATTTCGCATATTTTCCTTTTTTAATTGCATATATTATCGAATATATATGCGGATATTTCACTGTTTTTATTGCATATAAATCACAGCCGTAGTTATAACACACAATTATTTGTCTTCATCCGCACCACTTGGACGACTGGTTTCCGTGGCTGGTTTTCGACATTCGCCTACGAGGAGTTTAATGCCCGATTGATATTATCCAGAAATTTGTATGACTCAATTTCCAATTTACTGTAATTGACATTTACAATATAGTGTTGAAATTAAAAAAAAACGATGTAATGCAAAATTATTACATTGACTCTAAATTGAGTATTTGAAATACGTATGTATTTAGCAAATCAAAACCTAATGCATTTTGAGTGTATATTTAAATTCTTATTTACAAAGTATTATGACGAAGTATGTTAGTGTTATATTTAGTCTTTTGCCCAACCCTGTATGTAAGTAAGCAATATAACCGAAATAATATTAATAAATTATAACTTAGAATTACATTTAATGAAGTTATTAATATACTTTTTATGTTTTGTATTAACGAAGAACAATACAATTTACACAAGGCTCCTCCAGGAAAATTCTCTAGTTAGGCCCATCTCCGTCGATTATTCAGATTATACCAAGATTGAACCTATACATCTTACCAACGTAATGAAGAGTATTATATTGTATGTAAAATCCAGAAACTAATATAATAATGCAAACAAGTACCAGACAGTACATGTGCTGCATGATATTAGTGATAATAGGTGGAATGATATATTAATTTCTCAACGTAATTGCTTCTTGGCGCAGGACTCGCATCACGACTATGGTTATGATTATCTTTCTATCCAGTTGATTTCTAGTGAATGCTAACATGTCCTTAGTTCACTTCGGGCAGTGCGAAGCTCAAACGTCTCACACAGTTCGACGTAATAAACCTTACGATTGTAAAACGGACTGCATCATTTAAAAAAAACAATATTGAACAGAAAAATAATTTAGTGAATGTAAAATCTCATTCATAATGTTTATGTCAATGACAAATTACCGTCGAACCGTCTGGAAGTAAGTAGGTCTATAACGGTCATCATGACTACGTACATCTTATTTCTGCTCTAGATTTCTCATTCTGTTTGCTGCAAAATCTCATTACAGCTAGGTAATTACGACATGCTGATAGCGACGAGAATGAATCACATAAGTATTACTATGTTTTGAGTGTGTTCACTTCACGTCATACTATGAGGCAGGTGTACGTTTCAATGTTCAAACTTCTACTCGTTATCTTCTACAGGATCTTCAATTGAGTTGAAGTGTACCGGAAACATGTTTTTCTGGGTTGGAAACTTCAAGGTTACTGTGAAATTTATTGTATTGGGTAACTAGTGTCCGAATAAATTCGGAAGGCGCAGGCTGTTGGTTGTGGAAGGGGAAGCCTTGCAGCGTATTCGCGCTCTAGCAACTTACGAGGTGTGTGTCGCCACCATGTTACCGATTAACAATAACAAAACAACTCTCTGCACTGTAGGCACTATTAGCACATAAAATGCACTTTCACACATTAATTATAGTTATTAACGAAACGAGTGGATAAAGAGAAGTATAATTGCATGAGTAGTATGTTCAAAAAAAAACGAGCGGCGATAACGAGTTTTCTTGCGTATTTACCACTAGTGCAATTAACCCCTTTACTCACGTGTTCTGTTCAATATTTCTTCGTTTCTATTTAAGAATAATTTAAATTTTGGGAAATGCAAGCACATCTTTAGAATTTCAGGCATACATTTGATGACATTGATTCTAAAAAAAGATTTATTTTAGTGGATCTTGCATTGAGTTTGTAAGAAATGTGTGCAAAAGGAAGCAATTGAACATATTCCGAATGAAATATTATAATATGCTGACAAAGCCATGAAAACATTCCTTCCCACGAAACTTAAGACAGATATGAGGAAGAATACGTGTATAAATATTAGGAAGTAACAAAAAGTAGTCACTTCTGACAGTTTCGAGAGCATACATTTTACAACAGGTAAATACAATTTATATTTTTTATATTTGTAATGCTAAGATCAAATATATTACATATAAAACATTTAGTTTATTCATGTTAAATATTTTATATTATTTCATTAGTCAGCTGGCATAACGTTTATGTCGCCAATTTATTTTTATTCCTTCGTTGTTTATATGTAGTTGATGTAGTTACGTAATTTGTAATGTACATTTTTGTTAATTTTTGTTCACTGGAATTACCTTGGCTTGTTATAATATCGTAAGTAAACTATTTTGCTCCTTTTCTGAATACTGATAGATAAGTGTGGAGTTTTAATTACACGCGTACTATTAGCCTACAGATAATCCACGATTTTTCTTGGAATGAATGAGCATATTTATTTAACTAAACGAAGACCCCTTTTATCTGCACTGGAAATGTCGCCCACCTCATTTATTCGAGGTATGCGATTTATTTATTTACATTTTGAAATGTCAACACCGACCACATGCTGAAGCTGCCAATTCGCTGTTGCTCAACCCCTTGCAGTCTGGATGGGTTTTAAAGAGAACTTGAGGCCTATACTCCAGCGAAAATGCGGTCCCGGGGCAACAGAAATTGGTTTTTCTGAACCATCGTGAATACTGAAGCTTCTTCCTTCCTCATTGCATTACGTCAGATGTGTTGTAAGCAGTGATGCACTGAGTACGAGAATATAGACGTAACATAAGGGAGGATGTTTCTATGAGAAATTGCGGATTAATATAATCAAAATCAAAACTGTTTTCGAAGTTTTCCAGTCCATCGGGGAATTTAACGAAACCATTGATATCTCTCACATTCTGTTTACTTTTCCATCAGTTTAAGCGCATATCTGATATTGGCAACATAGATGCCTACGAGGTCTAATGGCCAGTGTCATGATTCTTTTCGCTTATGCGTTTTTGTACACCGCTGTTGTAGGGCAATGTTACTGAAGTTGAAATTCAACGAACACACCATGACAAGAAAAAGTCAACATAGAAATAAAATGCCTTCATTTCTTTCAGTTTCGTCACGTTGGGGTTAAAGTCTATTACTCATAAGTTGTACTACCATGTGTAGCTTTTCATTTTCCGCCCTCTTCCGTAATTTCTTCATACCAATATTCAAACCAATTTCTCGTACCAATAAAGAAAAAAAATTGACTCGTAAAAGAGGAGTCCAAAGCTTCAGAGTGCATACCAATGGATTCCGTCTTAATTGCCTGAACTCACATTAAGAAATCATATCTATCACGCTCTGTAGTGTTGGTTCTCGAACTCGTTGCTATATTAAATATCAGATAGTAGGAGTTGATGAAAGTGATGTAATGTTATTTAAATATGTAGTAATGCTTGATAATAGTAGATTGGGGAGATAATGGACTATTAAACGATACAGTTCAGACAGTTATGGTAATACAAGAGCCGGTTATGGTGAAGAGCAAGAAAAATTAATACGGAAGTTGGACTTGACGAGGATGATATGGTATATAAATATCAGTAGATTGCAGTGAAAAATTTAGCCTAAGACAAAAATGCAAATAAAATTGGGGATGAGAAAGGAAAGTACGAATACGACTAGGGAATAAATTGAAGAATACTTATTTCTAAATCTAAGAGATCAAAAAATAATATATTTTGAAAAATAATGACTGGTGGTTTTTTGCAAAAAAAAAAAATTGCGCTTAAAAATTATTTTTGGAAGATTTGTTAAAACTTGTACATCACCTGAATTTTTTATTTAAATATGGCGATATAATCCCAATCACCAAAAAATACCTTCAGAAACCCGGTTATATAAAAGTACATTTTATGTGCACCGATATCATTATACAATACATTATTATAATATATTTTGTTTTTAAGTATCAATACTCCGATTAGCCGTTTAACAGATAGAAAGTCAATTTAGACCTAGAGGTCCCTGACGGTCAAAATCATGGCGGTGCGTATGCTATTCGGAGCTAGATGGGAGTAAGGTGTGACCATCCCAGGTGACCACTTGAATGCCAAGGGTGGTGGGTGCAGAATGTAACAAGTACCGTAGGGTCGTATTATTTCTCTCCATCGTGTATCGTATGGAGACGGCACGTCCTAACCACAACATTGTAACGTCAGACCGCGGCAGCGGAGCATTTCGTCGCTTATCGATTTTCCAGCCTCACATCAAAGAAATGTTGCGTGCTGGCGTTGAGCATCCTCTTAGCAAGTCAGAACGGAACTGTCGCGAACTGTGCGTTCATATCCTGTTGCACGTACGATCAACGTGTCTCGTGATGCTTTGTTATGATATTACTTCGGCCACCACGTAGAGTTGTACGTTGATGTAGAGTTACGAAATGTTACGTATCTGGACTGAAACTAGTTTTAGATTATACCTGGTATAAAAGTTAACCTATTTTTCATTATCTCTCTTACGTTATTTCTCTCTTCCTCTCTTTACCTACAGACCTTTAAACTTCGTTCCTTCCGCAATTTGTACAAAACCCGTGCCTGGTATACGATGGAGGATCTAAATGTAATATTTTGAAATGTTTCTAAGCGTTAAGTAATAAATTAATTTGAATGTATTCAAGGTGAATTAAAAAGTACGATGAAGTTTACTATTAAAAAACATAGGTGGAAGTGGAATAATCATAATTTGCATCAAATTGGATTTTTTTGTTTATTCCCTCTTATGTCGTACACGTAAACTTAAGACTTTCCCTGAAGAGGGTAGAGCATGATGGCCAATATGAAGGCAGAGGTACTCGGAAAAGCGAGTGGCCAGTCAGGCTAGTCATTAGAGCCGGAAAATATTGAAGGCTAGATGAAAGTGAAGTGTGGTCAGCATATGTGGCCATTTGAATGCAAAGAGTCAAGGTCCAGAATGAAAACAATGTAGAGCTGTCAAGATATGTTACATTTCCTTTTTGAATTGTCATCAAATGAGAACATTCAGCATCATTCACAATTTCCTTTTAAACAAGCTTCTCACATTAGCATAAAAATGTTTCCCGGCGCGAAATATCTTCGCGGTACGTAGGATTTCTTCAAAAGGGTAAACTTAAATCAGAACCAGGCGTATGAGAGTGTTAAAACCAAAAGAGGCAACTAAAATAACAAAATGTTTTCAAAAGGAGCTTTCATTTGGAGCATTTACAGTGATTAAATGTTCATAATTGTGGCAAATATAATATTTTATTGTAAGTGTCGTCATTTTATAATTCTGCGGCCACAAGGAGGTAAAGCCTAAAAATTATCTTTTCAAATAATGTGGGAAAAACTAGAGTTTTTCAAAACTATTCATTTCTAATAGTGCGAATGTATTGCCTGTTGTACTTGAGCAAAAGAAAGACAAAAATATGCGATTTCGTAGTTGTACATTTTTTATTACTTCGCAAATATGTTTCCAAATAGTTTTTCCGATTAACATCTGATATGCTAGAATCCGAGAACTTCAGATCAGGAAGTCCGCCGTTCTTACCACCAGAAATCCTACTTACGCAGATTTAAGACCTACATTCACAAACACCAAAAACATCTCGCGAAATTACTGTTATAGGAATGTAACAGTCATGCTAAAATTCAGTGTTGCTGTACTAGTTTCAGAAATCTCATCAGAAATCTCTTTCAGAAATATTTAAAATATAGAAGATTTAGAGAAATGTCTAATCATGTGTTTGTGACTGCTTCTACATGAATATTCAGAATTAGAAGGAGAAAATACATGACAAAACATGCCTTGTTTTTAACTGTCTAGGTAATTTGGAATGCCTTAAGAAAGATATTAGTGTCGACGCGAGAGACGTCAATATCCGAAAGTCCTCTAAGAAATACATATTTACATACATCATTTCAGTAATAGGTTAAAATTGAGAAAGAATCATGTCACCTACAAGGCTACAACGCGCAATTCCTTATTAACCTAAAGAGGATCGTAACACAAAAACAAACTTTTCGTTATCTTAAAGCTTTGAGCGAGTCACTATCAACCGTCTGTAAACCGAATCGCTAGTCATTCCTCTCTAAAGTTACGGCGACCTCGTGGAAAGCCTGCGGAGATTTCGTCGTCGCTATGCGATTTTTTTTCCGCCGCAGTGACTGAAATGTTTCTATTGGGATAGATCTGGGATAGATCCACAACTGGCTTTGCTTTGATTCCACCGATAAACACTCTGTGCTCTGTTCAGAGGAGAATCTATTGAATCCCAAAATCACACGAACATACAGGTGGAAACAAGGAATTGTTCATGTCTTTACGAAAAGAGAACGTTCATCCATGCAATTTGCAACAAGGACCCAATTTTTCCACACGAAAGGTGTTCTGACCAGTATGGAACGCCGACTAACTATGATTTCATAACTTGTTAATACCCGATTTCAACGAATCTGATTTCCTGAAATGCAGATTGATTCCAAGCAGGCAGGGCCGGCGACCTAAGTCCGAGTGGGTAGTTCATCCGGATGGGGGATCCCCTTTCCCCCTCCATCTCAGAACGAAAATGTATACGAAGGCCCCCCAAAAAAAGTTTGTTTTTTCACAAATTGTCATGTTTATCATAATATTGCCATCAAATTGTAATCACAGTTATGTCATTACATTTATTTTATGTAACTTCAATTTTGCAATGCAAAAACAATGCGGCGCTTTGTTTTTTTATATACACTCATTTAACAACTTTTGAAAATCCATTTTGTAGGTTATGTCGCTATAAACATGTCAAATCGCAATATTGTTGAGTCGATCTTACAACGTACAAAGTTAATCGCATATAAGTTTTGAGCCGATGCAGTTCCGAAAAATTTCACTAGTTTCTGGAATTTGATGTATATGAAATATTTCTCTCAGCCCAAATTCCGAGAAGGTATATATATAT